AGAGGCTCATACATACACGAGCTGGCGGGCAAGTATATGTTCAAGACATTGTTCTTATGAACAAAAGGTTGATGTTTATTTTGTTATACTTTAGATCCAGCTTATTTAGACTATGAGATATAATTAATTTTTTCAAGTGCATACCAGGTTTGAAACAGTTGTCCTGACAATGTGGGAAGCTTTCGTGGAGCGAAAATGCATTCTTATTGCAAACAATATAGCAAAAAAACCAGTCCTTGTTGGAAATCATTTAAAAGTTTCGTCTTTCAACGGTTTGTTCGCTGAACCTTTTCCTAAATATATAGTTGGATATAGCATCTTACTTGGTTGTTATAGCAAAAAATTTAATATGCTTTAGAAAGTTGCATGTATGTATGTATATATAAAATAACCTGATAAATAATTTATACTTTCCTTCATCTTTGTAGGGCTGTCTCTATCTACAAAGACCAATAGTTGCTTCTTCATTGACTATCCATTTGATGAAGTTACAGAACTCAGGTCATGGTAATATCTATCTTCTATTACGTTTTACCACTTTAAATCACTTCAGTACATGAATTAAACTCTCTTGTATTGTCCCTTTCTTGATCCAGCATTGCACTTTCACATAAATTTAAATAACTGTTAATATGCTTTTCTCAGACCTCTTTTAGCATTCCAATTTATCTTTGATCCATTAGAAAAATAACCTACCTTCTATTAAACTTGTAACTTTTTTACTATCATTCACTGCACAGGAGATGCTGACTTGATTATTACTATATCTTTCAATACATATAGACAGCTGATTATAAGTGTTTTATGTTTTGAAATTAGGGATTCCATTAGTAGGCCACTTTTCACTCCATAATTCCTGAACATGTTGAATTGTTTTACCCATTTCTTTCAGAATTAAACTGTTTTCATTTGATGTTTTCAAATATTGATATTCCAGTTTCTTACATGTTTAAATTTACCCTTCCATTCTAATAGAATTTAGCTTCTTACGTAATTTTTTTTTTTAAGAAAACTAACTTTGTATTTAAACC